GTGTACTTACACATATTCTAAATGACCATAAAGGGAGAAAGGCCAGTTTCCTGCAAAAATGGACCTGAATGACCGAATTAGGACTAGCTGCTGGCAGACCAATGTCATCACAATAAGTTGTTTAGAATCAGAGGGAGGATGTGTCAGGAGCTCTCCTCACCATGTTACCATGTCGGGGCCAGAAGGAGTCGCACAGCTGTGTTTGAACAGTAATTAACATCTGTATTGGAAACCACAGTAGAGGGAAAACTGCACCCACTGCCAGGAGAAATGACCTGAGGAAATTCATGCATCAGAGAATCATTAATGTAAAATCTCAAAAAAGTATGGGTTCTCCATTTATAAGTTTTTCAATGTTTAGTACACCTGGGGAGAACTGAACCTTCTTATCATTTTTCAGAAGTTACAGGCTGCCCAAAGATCACTGTTTCTTTGTAGCACACTTTTGCAGAAGAGGGTCACAGAGCAGAGTATTTTGTGGGTTCAAAGTGGGGCTACTTCCTGCTTAGCCCTTAGACCAAAGCTGTCCAAAACTCTCTGTGGTAATGGAAATGTTCTATATCTGTGCAATCCATCAAAGGAAATCATTAGTTACATGTGGTATTGAGCCCTTGAAATGTGGTTAGTTGGGCTGAGGAACGGAAAGTCTAATTCTATTCAATTTTAATTCATTCAAGGTTAAGTAGCCAGGCATGGCTAGTGCCCATGGTATTAGTGCAGTATTAGCTTCAAGCTCTCACAGGTTTTTTCCTCCACTGAGGGTGTTTTCCAGAGCCATTAGCAAAGCAGCACTGTCACCTGCAGGAAGTGGGCCCCAGTGAGAGGTCCTCAGGTCATTGGGGGTGTGACCTCATTGCTTCTGCTTCCTGTTTCCTGCTTCCTGCCAGGAAGTATGGTTTGAGAAATGATTTGGATCACTACCCTGATGTGATGCCTCATCAGAGGCCCAAAGCAATGGGGACACCAGATCTTCAACATGAGCATAAAATAACTCTTTTCTCTTTACATGTCAATTATTTCTGATTTTTTTTACAGGACCAGGAAGCTGATTTTAATACAAATGTATAGATTCAACCATTTCAGTTTCCCCATATTTTATTTTTTTCTTTATATCCTACCTAATACCAGTTTGTAAACTAACATCTATACATGTCTGGTAACCATGGCAGAAGCTAATGAGACTTCTATCGGAATTAGATTTTATTTCAGAAAGATGCAAGACATCTTAATATAGTCCAAGATTCTTTAAGATTGTTACTTAAATGCAATGCTTTTATTTAAATCAATATGCACTTATGTTTAGGTGATTTCTCCTTTGTTCTCAAGGCACAAGACTACTTTCTGATGCGCCAGCTGGGAAGTTCAAAAATAGGATGTGGGGGCCGGGGGTTTAGCTCAGTGTTTCCACTGCCTGCCTCGCAAGCACAAGGACCAGAGTTCAATCCCTGATACAAAAAAAAAAAAAAAAAAAAAAAAAAAAAAAAAAAAAAAAAAATCTCATCTGAGAATGGATTCTAAACCTCATTTCTGGATGTCCAGCTAGATTCTGTTGGAGCAGAAGAGAACTTAGAATACAACCCTTATGATGCCCAGAAAGAAGAAACAGGAACTTCCGATGATGTTAGAAGTGACTGACTTTAAAATGCTCTTGTCCCAGCCAACTAAACAGAAATCTGATTTGTCAGAAGTCTGACGACTTAAGTGAGGCATCTGAGGGGCAGTGGAGAAGAATTGGACCCTTAGGGCAAGTTTGCCACTGCTTGCACTCCGACCTAGGCAGTACTAGCCTGGCTCTGACCAGGGTGAGTCAATTATAGTTTGTGATCAGTAACACGAAGACAATGCCCACCACCATGCACAGTCAAGTGAAGATGCATTTATGGAAATGGAGGAAGTGCAATTAATGAATCAATAAACTAATTTTATGGAACATTTACTCTGTGTTAAGAGCATTACGAATTTCATGTGCAGTGGCTTAAGTAACCTTCGCAACATTGAAAGATAGGCTGTGTGTTTTGTTCTCCTTTTACAGAAGACAGGAAACACACATAGATGTAATCACAGAGCCAGTCAGTGATGGAATCGGGATTTGAATGTAAAGATTTTGGTTCCAATTCTGAGCTCCTAACTACCATATGATACTGTCTTTCTGCTTAATAGTTGAAATCTAATTTTGAAAAATAGGGATGAAAACTCTAAGTGAAATATAACTATGAATGGTAGAAGAATCTCCTAAATATTATTTTATGATACAAGCAGGAGAAAATGTACAATCCCTGGGAAGGGTGATTCATTCTCCAGGTCCCATCTCAAGTTCTGTTCACTTTGCCTTTCATTATGACTTTCATCTTTGCTGTTGTTTTCTGTGAGACGTGAACAGGAGAAAGACACTTCTGAGCTGTGATTTAATATGAATGTCTGAATCAGACAATCTGGGATACTAGAGCAAGGTGGAATTTTAAAGATCACCTAAGTGAAAATGAAGACTTGCAGGGAATGAAGAAATTTAGCAAACTGCACCAGCCCAGAGCTTAACACTGCTCAGGTTAGAATCTGGGGTTGGACCAAATGCAACTGGAAAAACAAATGTAGCTCAAATTGAAATTTAAAAATCATAGCATCTATTTTCTGAACAAAAGTACACAAGATGCTAAAAAATTCTTTATTTTTGTATATTGTGCCTCTAAATATATAATCTTATGGCATTGTGCTGTTTCCTGTTGTATGTTTTCACTTTACTGGTTGATATTTACTAATTGACTAGTTACAGGTAGCTAACTTCCATTTCTGATACTATCAACAATTAAGACTTTGATGAATTATAGAATCAATTATCTCTTCATTAACTAAACAAGCTTTTGCATAATATCAGTATTTTTTGTAATCTAAGTAATTTATTGTATGATGCGCATGTGTGCTCAAAGCTCCATATTCTCAATGCCAAGTTCTCCCACGCCTCCTGATAGCTATCAAGACCAATCTTGGGAAGTATTTCAAGGCAATCCGCTGACATAAGAGTGGAGGCACCTACTTATTGCTACAGCCACTCCTTTGAAAATATTTCCTTTGTTATCAAATTAGCCAACCCAATCATACTGTGCTCCCAATAATATTTCTGAAAGGCACACATCACTCTGGTAGTAGCAAAGCCAGGACTCAAACTGAAGTCTGTGTTCTCAATGACCATGCGCTCCCTATTATGTTCAAAAGGGATCTCATGCCCACATTGCAGTTGGTGATCTTATGACACTGGGCATGCTTCACAGTGCAGCCAAGTTTCCTTTGGTTGCAAGTTACAGGCACTGGTTCCAGTCAGTTCAAGTAAGAGTATGCAATTTGTTGAGTTTTTTCCAAAAAGCTCATGCAATCCAAAGATAGAAAGTGCAGTTTGTATGAGACAGATACAAACATCAGAACATCAACAGCTAACAAGGCAGCTACTCTCCTTTCTCTTCAAGACCCAAAGTTTTACTTTTGTCCAATTTATCCTCTCACAGACACTGACTTCACAGCTTTTCCACATGGTAAAACTGGTCCCCATCAGAAACCTGCTGCTCAGTTACCTCCCCACTTTACCAGGATGGACTGAGCTTCTGTCAGACACACTTGCTTGTTATGTGTTAACTCTGGATCCATCCCAGTTGGGGGAACCAGTTTCTACCAGCGGCATGAGACATAGACGTCCAAACAAGTGTGTACCACAGCTCATCTTGGCATTTCCTGACTTGGAAGACGGGAAGACTGGTAAGATACTACTATTCCGAGATAGTAACTCTTCTGTTTTTAGGCTCTTGGCTAAATCCATTACATGGACCATGTCATCAAACCTTAAAGTGACCATATGAAACAGAAATTTTATTGACTTATTTTACATGTGCAATGGATGAGGCATTGAGCGATTAAGGAACTTGCTCAAGAAGATCTCCAATAAGACCTGTAGTTCCAAAATGGTTATAATTTTAAAATTAAACATCAGTTTAATAGAGATAGATTGAAAGAGGCATATTTTTTCTTAACCTCAGGTCATTTTTTTTCTTTAAAGAAAAATCTGCAGTCTAAACAACATTTCAACGATTAATTTAATTTAGACCACATTACTATTTTATAATGGATAGGAGATGGTAGTAATGATGAAACAGTTATTGTTAAATGAGTGAGTCAGACATCCATGGAAAAAGAACAATAAGCCCTAAGTCTCCAAGTATGGAATGTGGAGCTTGTGGTTAAAAAGACCAAAAAGAAAAACAAAACAAAACAAAACAAAACAAAAAAGAAAAACAGAAATAAGAAATAATTCAAGTTACATTTTTTAAGTTTGATAGACATGTTTCCATTTTTGAGTATATTTCAGTGTTTTAATCATATTAGGTTGGCAAGAAGTTATGATGGTTCCTTCATGGTACCACTCTGGGCCCAAGCTGATTACCCCTTCAAACTCGGCACTGCTGAAAATATTTCAGAAATAGGATTTTTCCCAATAAATAGAAAGGAACAGAGAAATGTTTAATTAAACAATCTTTATTTCCATACAGTATAATGAAAATCTCTTCATTACTGGAGAAAGTGATACAAATTCAGCAAAGCTTAATACATCAGTAGTGAAGTGTTGCTCACAGTTTCACTGTGATACACTCTTTCAATGGATTTGACTACAGAACCAAATTTTATTTTGTGTCTAGGAACTATAGTTAAAAAAAAAGGCTTTTCTCACTTTCTAGGAATTAAAATTATTACAGGAAGGCAGCAGTTATTAAATAAATTAAAAGCATCTTTAAAGTTTTTCCATATACATATATAATATATATATTTATAATTGCCATTCACTGTACAAGCATTAAATTGTCAACTAAAACATTTACAGAAGCTAGTGTGAAAGGTTGAAGGGAAGTCTTAGATTTTAGAAAAAGGGGGTCATTTTATCAATTATAAACTACATTAAAATACAATTCTCAGAGGAAGAAAAACTATAGTCAGACTTATCCAAGATCTCTTATGATTGCTTATTTAATCTTACACATCAGATGTGCATAGCTACTCTCAATTCAACCAGAGATCAATGTCCAAACATTAGTTAATTTTTAGCAGAGAAAAGCAACAGCAAGCCTAAGCTGAATAGTGTCATTACATAAAAAACTGTGTGAATCTGACTGATGATAGTATTACTCATGTATGACTGCCTATGAAAGTATTAAATTGGCAATAAGTTTCATACATAACATACAAAACCTTATCTTAGTAAATGCCCATCTCTTACTGTATAGCTAGGTGAATACAGAATCAACCTGGAATACTGTAGTCCCAAGAGCTAAGGAAGCCAATCTTCCAGTTTAATTTCTACAACTTGAATCCTGTGAATTGCAGATTATTTACACTGGTTATAACAAAGTATTCTCAAAATACTGTATTGACACTTGCAGTCCCTTGAGATGCAGAAAATGGGTACTGAAAAAAGAATTCCCTTCTTATGTGTGTGTGTGCACGTGTGTGATTGCGCATGTGAATCCCACATTGGGGAACGGCCGGGGAAGGGTGGGAGTGGGAAACCTGTAGGGTTTGGTAAACGGCATTTATACACTTAGTATTTTTTCTTACCAATGCCAATTTAGTATCAAGAAATTTATTAAAAGACATGTATGTAGGAATTCTATGGAAACTAGCACCTAACAAACTGAGAAACAGGCATGTATTTTCTATTTTAAACAGATTTTCATTAATTAAATGGACAATTCATTTGCTTCAAACTTCACTAATGAAAATCAATCTTTCTTTATTCTTTTGGAATAAATTTTTTTGATTTATACCACTATATGTCCTCACTTCGGTAGAGGTTGAAATGAGGGTTAGGAGATCACCCAGAAAATACTGGTGAAGTCTATTTCCACTGTGCAAGATTTGTCCCAGTGTAGTAAATTTATCATATCAAGTGATAGTAAAAATAAATCTTAATTAGTTGGTACTTGGAAATTTTTATTATTTAGGGGACCTTTTTTGCCATTGTAGGATTTAATCTGTGATAAGTAGTCACTGGCTCATATTAAGAAAGGGAAAAGACATTTATTTGTATACAAAAGGCTGAGACAGGATACTAAGAACTGCTGGATAACATCTCTAGGAAAAACTAAATTAAGAATTCAATCAGATCTACCAAAAAACAAATTTTCTTTCTCAAAAAACAGTATGACTAGGATATGGTAGCCACACTCTGGCCTTTTCCTGTCTTTTAAATTTGGCCCTCAGAGTTGTGAGAAAATTTATTAAAAATTAATTTTACCCCTCATCTCAGTTTGAATCTTTAACCTTATGCTAACAGAACAAAAACGAACTGGAGGAAAATAAGTAATTTAGGCAGCAGAATTTAAGTCATCTTGGAGACCTGGTGGGTCTCATTTAGCTCTAATACACACTCACACCAATGCTAGTGTAACTCAAAAATGGTGAAGAGCCTCTTTTCATGGCAGCCTTTTTAAAATAAGCTTCCAATAAAATACCACTTAGACCACAGAGAATGCCATGCTCATTTACCAGCATCAAAGGACAGGATACTCCTGCATCTGGCTTAGGAAGAGACACTTGCACCTAACACTCTCATCCCTTCCAGGAAGATGTGTACTAAACAGCTCATAATAGAAACCCAATGTTTCCTTGCCTAAAGGGCCGACCTGTTCAAGTGGTCAGCCCCTTCATTTTACCAGGGAGGACACTTGGAGCACACAGTTCATGCAGTGCTTTTCACAAAATAGATGCTCAGCAATTTTTAAAAAGATGACTGAGCCACCATAGAGAACTATGTGCAGAGAAGGGACAAAGCCCCACTTCTTCTGAGTCTGCAGTTGCAGAACGGGCTGAATTGTCTCTAATTGTCAGGCCAGACTGAACTAAAATGAAGACTTGCCACAGATCCACCATTAGCAACCATGCATATCCTGAAATCACTTGTTTCTCAAGTAAATACAGTGAGTGAAAGATTTCAAGGGCAAAAATGTAAAACAAATGGAAATGGGGGACAAACCCCAATTTAATGCCTGTGTTTGACTTCCTTTCCTGCTGGATAATTTTTAGTGAGTTTTGCTAAAATGTAGAGTTCATGAAGGCATCAAACACTTGGACCAGAATGATGAACGATACTCAGTATGTGTCTGATTAGAATGGTCTCCAAATTTTCATCAGTTTTTGAGTCTCAGCATCTACTGACAACTTCCCAGGAGGAAAAAAAAAAAAACAAAAACCAAAAAAACTCATAATGGCGTCACGAAAGATTTTTGAATTCAATGTAGAGGACAAATGAAAATATTTGTGAAAAAAGTACAGAAAAACTGCATTTGATTTTCAAAAACCGAGCTGCTGATTTCCTTTTCTGGGACACAGTGAAATGAAAACTGTTCTTCTGGTGAAACGGTTGGGTTCAGTGCTAACTCCATGTGTGCTCTTGGACGTTTCTATCAATTTTAGTAATTGAACAGTACTTTCTAAAACATGAAATTAAAAAATAGAAACCTATGTATTCCGAGTTATAGAAGTATATTAAGTAAACCTTACAGAGGGCACAGGCACCTGACATGTGAAAACACACACACACAAAGACACACACACAGAAACACACATATTCACTCTACTTACACAATGTCTTATGGAAAAAAATCAAGGATAAACAAGTCTCAGAACACTGAAGACAATTAAACATCAAATCAACTGGGTTATTTAGCACTTGCTAAGTTGCTCAGGAGTCTAAAGCAATAATCCTACTTAAAATATGAAATTACTATTTTCCTAGTCTCTAGATCAGCAGAGATAAATGATAAGCTATTGCTGTTTTTCCAATAAAATTTTAAGGCCCATTACAAAAATAAATCAGTGTGCTCTCTACGAGTTCTAAAAACAGTTTGCTAATTTTTTTGTATGACTAAAAAAGAAGTAAGTGTCCATATTTACTAAAATCACACTTTTAGTTACATTCAAAACCAGATACAGTTCAGTTCTGCTTGCTGGAGCTCATCAGGCTATTTTCATATTCCCTTTTGACTATTAAACAATTTTTTGGAACAATGCATTGGCAGTGCAAAATAAAAAAGGTCTGTAAAAAATGAATGATTGAATTAAGCATCGGAACGAGTTCTTTGCTGGGTTATCTGCAGGCACAGGACTCTACTGTCATGTTGGGGTACACTTTGAGCACGACATTCTTATTCTCGTCAAAGAACAAGATGCTGAGTGAGGACATCTTCTCTGGCACGCAGCAGGGCTCTGGAATCCCAGGAATGACCCCCACCGCTCTCACTATGCTCTGGATGGTTGCATGATTTGATGGCTTCAGAGACTAGAAGAAGAAACAGGAGAAGAACACAAGTTAGGTGGAAGTGTTTTTGTACTCCTCACTTCTCACCACATAAAATGCTTGTATCACCAATCTCTCCAGACAGTGTAGTCACACCCTGGCGTCTTCACAACTACACCGTTTCTTACAACGACTCAATGTTTATGTGCTGGCGAAGCAAGCACAAGACTCAAAAAACTTAAAGGGCCCCTGGGAGGTCAAAGAGGTAGAAAGTGGTAGAGTGAGAATTTGAATCCAGTTCTCTCAGCTGAAATAATTACAAACAACTTAATCTCCGATCATGGAATCAACACATTCTTGATGATTTCAGTGACAGGACTGCAACAACAGTAAAATAATTTGTTCTGACCTAATAATGATCCCAAGGAACACTAACAAGTGCCTTATTAAACAGAGATATATTATTGCCAAGATTATAATGATATGTATAGATTGATGTTAAAATAAAACTAATGAGAATGAGGAATATTTATTAAACAGTCGTCAAGAGAGTGAGTAGGATAGTGACTACGCCACTAATGCTAATTATTCAACACTCAGAAACATAAATTGGTGTTTAAAAGATTGAACCACTGAACACTAGGGGTCACTATTACTCCACAATTTAGACAAGCTTGGGCCTGGTGTGTTTTAAGGGTAAACTATGTTCTCTGGGAATAAACTAGGGAGTATAAGGTTATCCCATGGATGTCAGAAGTTTCACCAAAGAAGCCTGGGTTAAATCTCTTCCCTGAGAAAATTCCAAATGGGACCATTAACATCCATATGAAACATATGGTTTTATTTAGAATGCCCTATGCTTCACTGCTCTACCCAAAAGCACTGGAAGATTTACAGGCCCAGAATATTAGGGATTACCAATATGGTCAGAAGAAATTCAGAAGAGATGCCACATTTTTCAGCACCAGTTCTCCCCAATGTCTCTTAGCTGAGCGAAACTACTGTACTTTTGTTTTCAAACACATTCAGAAACAGGCATTTGCGGGCTACAGGTGTAGCCTAGCTTGTATGAGGACCTGAGTTTGATCCTACATGGCAAAAATCAAAACAAACAAAAGCCCCCCCAAAACGAAATGACTCCAGCAGAAATTTGCAACTTGCCAGAGATCAAGTCAGGATAAGATTTTATCCAAAAATCTCTCTACAGGATTTCAGATTCAAGCCAAGTTCCTTGAGGCACCTCAATGAACTGGGATTTTAATTTCAAACTCCTAAAACTCCAGCATCAGAAAGTACGATAAAAGGATAAGAGTTACATGCAAGCCAAGGGAGAATAAAACAGGGAAAGCTTGGCAGATTGTGAAAACACACAAACAAAAAAGTTCTTGGCAGAGAAAGAGAAAACCTGATTTGCCTCATCCTGTCTTTGAATTTCAAGGAAAAAAATTATCCCTAAATTAGGCTCCGACTTTATTGTGAATAGACATAAATAAAAATTATTTTAGTGACTGGTAACTCATTTTACTTCTTCCTAGAAATTTTATGTTTTAAGGCATATAGTAAACTTTCAATTAATTTGCTCTAATCCAGGCTGTTCTCTTTCACACACTGTGTGGCTTTTATCTCTGTATTTGTGTGTTTTACACAAACTGCAGTCTGCACTTCCCCTACATGTCAATAACCACTGCTTGTTATTTTACCAGTATTGGTAATTTCTCAACAAACAAACAAACCTAAAAAGTCTTTGCAGTCATCCACTTTTCTCTATTGATTTAAAGTTATTCTGAAGTCTTGATCGTCCAAAAAGCTTGTCAAAAAACCTGAAGAGTATTTTAAGCCAGCATTTTCTGACATTATTTTGTTATTGTTAATGTTTACTGGCTCCTAATATTTAAGTTTCATCAAAGTAGATAATTAATAGAAGAGCCCCTAATAATTAGATGAGCCCCTCAGCAATAAATAGCAGTGTACTTCGCTGTTCCTCAGTGCCTAGAACAGTGCGCACTCTGGAGAATCGCTGTGAGAGAGATGAAATACTTCTAAGAAGCAGTGCGCCCTCCCTTTTACCTATTTCTGTGGAAATAATTTCCCGTTAACAGGAATAAAATGTCTGCGCAAACGACCTGGTGTAGATATGGAAAATATTCTTGGGTGTTTCCTAGGAAAATTCCTGTCCTTAGCTCCAACTCAGAAATGATGGACTCAGACACCAAGAGCAAGAGTAGTGGGCCCAGCAGAGTGCAGGTGCAAGCCAAGGCTTCGGGGTTGGTGTTTCTTATTAGGAGCCTCTCAGGTTGCGGCGGAGCGCCCCCTCTCGCCTCACCATGCGATCCTCTGATCAAGCTGCGATTAGCAGGAATAATTATGTCCTGCACAGATGACCCATGCTGTAATTTGCCGGTGTGAAGCATACTACCAGTGCATGATTTTTATTTGTTTTTAAAATTCCGGTGATGTTTCCCGTGACTCCCTTTACTGAGTTTAAGAAATAGAATTGCAAATACAAATCAGTGCTTTCTCTCACCCATCTCTCATTTTAAAGAGGGTGAAACATGTCTTCAACATGAACTCAGGTAACTTTTTGCTCAGGTAACTGAGTACACTGAGATGTAATGTTTTTAGGGTTCACCTTCATGTTCCAAGATTAGAATTGGAAAATTCAGGAAATTCATTAAGCACGCACCATTTTGAACTCCATAAATGTGCGTTTCTCTCTCTCTTTCTTTCTTTCTTTCTTTCTTTTTCTTTCTTCTCTTTCTTTCTTTCTTTCTCTCTTTCTTTCTTTCTTTCTTTCTTTCTTTCTTTCTTTCTTTTCTTTCTTTCTTTCTTTCTTTTTAATTAATGGTACCTGGGATCGAACACGGGGCCCTTGTGCTTGCAAATCAGTGAACCAAAACCCTAGCCCAAATGTGTGTTCCTTTATATGGGATGCTTGGCTCAAAGGATTTCAATTATTTGCTGCCTTATTCAATTGTCTTTGCAATTCCCAGCTTTTGCACAATTCCTTGCAAAAGTAACTTCGTTCCTCTAAGCCTTGTTGGTTTCTTGGATCTCTATCAGCAACAATAGCTCAATCATTTTCATTTGAAATTTCTGTTTTCCATCTCTGCTAAGGTGGTGAGGGAGGCAAGCTTGGCTTTAGCTTTAAGGGTATTTTTCATCTTGTGGCAGAATTCCAAAAGTCTCTCTCTGGGAGAACAGATTGGCTGTAAAGCCTAGAAATCAGACAAATCCAAACTGCCGTGTCTGTGAATGAAATCTACAGTGGACAGGCTCGCACCTGCCAAGCTGTGTGTGATGTCCTCTTGTTGAATTTGATTACAAATGCATTAGCAGGGGAGAGTATGTCCCCTCTGAAATGGCTGAAAGCTGAAAGCCTTCATTCCTGACCCCGGCCATGAGGTTTTGCTCCACACTCTTCCAGTCCAGCCCACATGGGTTTGATGGCCCAGAAACTATCTAATTGGAATCAGTGAAAGGGCAAAGCCTGGAATTTGGGAAAGGCAGAGCACAGATGTTCTGAATTACGGAGCAGGTTGTCGACTTTTGCAGATCAACAGCCCCACCATATAGAGCAGGCTTTTAATTCAGGAGGCCAAAAAAAAAAAAAAA